GTAAATGTCTCATTTCTATAGGACCAGATGCTTAGGAGCACCTAAATATAAACAATACACAGGCCTTGCCCTCAAGGAGCTTAACAATCTAATAGGGAGAAAAGGATATATGCAGAAATAACCATAATACAAATTAAACTCTGATGAATTGTTTTTATTCATTTATTTTAAATTTTAACTTCTGAATTCTCTCCCTCCCTTTACCACCTCACCCATTGAAAAGGTAGGAAATACAATATACATATGAAATAATCCAAAACATAATTCTGCATTAGCCATATTCCAAAAGAAAAGATGAAGAACAAGAAATGAAGAAAAAATATGCTTCAACCTTTAGTCTGAGTTCATTAGTTCTCTATCTAGAGGTGGATAGCATTTTTCATTATGAGTCCTTTGGAACTGTGGTGTATCATTATATTGATCATTTATTAAGTCTTTCACAAACTGTGATGAATTAAAAAGATATGGTGAAATATAAAAATACCAGAGCCAGGATACCAGTGGGAGGTCTTTAGCCCTGAGCCAGGCTAGGAGAATCAAAAAGAAGGTGTTAATAATATTGTAACAGAAGAACTGATAGGACTTAGTCATTGCATGTGGGAGGGTTGGAGGGAAAAAAAGAATAAAAAATGTCTGTATGGTTTTGAAGCTTAATAATCAATTTTAAAAAATCATTAGGCATTAATTAAAGTGCCTACTAGGTGCTAGGAACTTTTCAAGGGCCTGAAGCATTATAAAAACAAAAGTGAAAGTCATGGCCCTGAAGAAGTTTACATGCTATGGAGAGAAACAATGGATACACATGTATGTAAATTAAAGTTGAAGTAAATACCAGGTAATCTTTGAGGTGGGATAGGCATTAGCAGATGGGGGAGCAGAGATCTGGAAAGATTTCATGTAGGAGGGGAAATTTGAGCAGAGTTTGAAGGAAACCTGGGAGTCTAAGAGGCAAAGGGGAGGAGGGAGTGCATTCCAGACTGGGGAACAGATGGTACAAGGACACAGAGATGTAAAGACATGTGTGAGGAACAAGCTGAATCATAGAGTGCATGAAGGGAAATAACATGTAATAAGGCTGGAAAGGGAGGCTGGAGTTCAACTGTGAAGGACTTTAAATGCTAAAAACAGAAATTCACGTATTTTCCTAGACATAATAGGAAGTCCCTGGAGCTTTTTGAGCTGTGATAGAGTCAGGCTTGTGCTTTAGGATACCGAGGGGTGAATGGCATTGCCATTAAATATAATAAGGAAGTTAGCAGGAGGGATACACTTTGGAAGAAATCTGTTGAATTTATTCAACTTTGGACAGGTTAAATTTGATGTGCCAGTTTAAAATCCAGGTGGAGATATTTAGCAAGCAGTTGGAAAATGCAAGGTGTTGAGCTAAGTAAGGGAAAATGTCTAGATTTCTGCTCTGGAGATGTAGTTTGGGAAACCATCTCCAGGAAGTGATAGATTGAAGACATAGGAGTGGATAAGATAGCCAAGAAAGATTGTGGACCATCACAGGAATGCCACACTTAAAGGGTGTAAGGGGAAAAGGAAAGGGAAAGTAGTTAGAGAGGTAGGAGGAGGACTATGAAAAAAGAGGGGCAAATGCCAAGGAGTGGTAGTTAAAACTATCAAACATTTCACAGAGGTAATTGAGGAGGAGGATTGAGAAAAACCTTTTGGTATTGGTGATAAAAAGATCATTGATAATCTTGAAGAAAACAGTTTTCCAAGAACCATGAGAATAGAAGCCGGAGTACAAGAGAAAAAGATGAGTGAATGGTGAGGCAATGGAATTACTGAATGTAAACAACTCTAAGATGCTGACAGAGAAGGAAATGAGGATGATAGGGTGATAGAAAAGCAGACAAAATGCTCAGAGAAAGAAAGGATTCATGAAGGAGAGATTGGTGATACACCAGAAAAAAAAAAAAGATTGATATAACAAGGAAAGGGCAATAGATTTTGGCAAGTAAAAGGGCTACCTCTTCATCTGAATCAGAAGGGAGAAGGAAGCAAAGACATATCTCTGACTTGATTTCTTGCTCTCTATAGTGGCTTTAAAAAGTGGAAGAAGGCAATCAAGAGGACTCATGTTGGATGATCTCAATCTCAAAAAACAAACATTTACTAAATATCTACTGTGTTCATGTTATAAGCTAAGAGTGAGAAGAATAGAAAAGCCTTGGAACAGGCTCTGTATTGGACTGCCATAGTGGCTTGATAATGTAAAGATTGCTAAGCAACAATGGGGGTCCAGCAGACATCAGATAGTATAAATTTGTATTGGATCAAATCAATATAGATTTTGTGACTTTTTCTTGTTGAAAAAGTGAGTAGTATAGGTTAACCAAGATTAGAAATGATTGAGGTATTGTGGTCATAAAGTTAAGAGGAAAGATATTTAAGGATGGAAGCAAATGTTTCTTGGAAATTGACAACTATGGGTCAAAATTGGGTATAATGGCAGAACCAGGTATGATGAAATGGGAGAATAGGTAAAGATTGAGAAACCAAAGGTCATCATAATGTATAAAACAGAATTAATAGATATGAGAGTACAATATAATTGAAAAGGGAGAAAATATGGTCAGAAGAGCCTATTTTAAGGTTTGGGGAATAAAGAAGCTTTGAATATTGATGAGGACTAAAGGATAACTGCCTTGGTGAAGGTGGAGGTTATAGGGAGTTGGGTCAAGGTCTTAAAGAGTTATCAACTTGGATACTGAATTTAAGAGGAGATAGTAGTAGGAAGGGAAAATGACACCCAAGTGTCAAAGTTGTTGAGGAAGGTATAAGAGTAGTCTGGAGATCCATAGATGACAGGATGGGGAGATGGTAAGTGATGGTCCAGAATAAGCAATGAGAGACATTTGATATGATAACTCCTCTTTCTAATCTTCTGAGTTTGGGAAAATGGGCATCCCTGGGTAATACTAACAACAGCCATAATTAGAAAGGTTTGTCAGATATGTATCCTCCACAGAAAAGACAGATTTCAAGTAAATAGAATTTATGAAATGAGTTCAAGAGGAAAATATTAAGAATCTATGAAGCTGGGAACTTATATAATAGAAATAACTAGTAGAAGGATAAGCAGGGTCTAGAAAAGGAAGTAACAAGGTGTATTTCTAGATAACAGAGGTTATGGAGGCAAGATGTAGGCTAGAGAGGGACATGTTTAGCTTGAGAGAAGAAAGGATACTGCACTGACTAAACAAAATTAGTTAACAGAGAAAAACATTTAGAGATTACCTACCAAGTGAGTATATTTGAGAAGGAGGTGAGATTTCAGATGGCTCTTGAAAAAGATGTGAGATGTGAAGAAGCAGAAGGTAGAAGGAAGGGCATTCCAGAGATCTTTGAAGAAATGTAAGCAGATATAGGGGAAAGAATGTGCAAACAATTTTTGTGGGACAATGAATAGGATACTAAATATAACAGAAAGATCATTTTGGGGAATAGTGAGACGTTTATATGATGGTATTTGTTTTAATTATATTCAGTCGCATTTGGGATATTTTTTTCCTAGCCAAGACAGTTAACTTGTGGTCAGTAGGAACACAAGCATTTTGATTACTTGTTCTTTTTTCCATAGACACAAACTCTATCCTTCTGTCCTTTTTTGCTCCCCTAATTTACCATTTACTCTCCCTGATGATTTTCCCCATTGTTCATGCTACCTCTTGTTCTCCATTCAACTAATGAATTCTGTATGTATTCCATGATCACTTTTGTATAGTAACACAAGGAATTCCATTCAATCCACAAATGACCATTTCCTCCTTGCTTGGTTGATTGTCAGGAAGCTTGTGTGCCACACAAACTACCCCTATAAGGTGACTGTTTAATAAATGTAATTTCAGTTCTCCCCCACCAACAAGGGATAATCAAGTTGAAACAGTCAGGAAAATGGTTCTGGTTCCTGATACTTTCAGAAGGAAGCACAGATCCATGTGTCCTGGAGCAGATTGGACCTGGGTCAAATAATAGGCCTCTACAATCTTTGAGAGACTGACTGGGCTACTTCCGGGAATATGGGCTCAGAAGGGTTGAATAATGTTTCAGGATATTATCATTTTGTTGAATATTTAAAAGACAGTTATTCTTAGGCTATGGATTATAAATAAATCCAATATATAATATTTGTCATTGATGTATCATATGAATACACACAATGGATATGTAATATTTTCCAGCCTAAGGAATTTCCAGCATGGGACTTCATTCCACCAACATGGCTTGCACTCCATCTGTAACTTAATCAGTCTTAAGGAGTTATTTGAAGTACATTTGCCCAGGGTCATACAAGTATTAAATGTTAGATATAGGATCTGAACCTAGATCTTCCTGACTCTAAGCCAGGTACTCTGTCCTATGCGAAACTGCTTCTAGATGTGTGTGTATGTATAAAGTTTATTAGCATGAATAATATATGGTATAAGTTTGTTCATTTGTAGTTGAAGATCCTAAAGAATAGTATACTATATTTGCATATTTTTTGAGTTTTCCTTCCAGTTTAGGTGTCCAGCAACTGAACAAGTTGAGGCTATTTTTGTCAACTGAGAGAAAATGGGATTTTTCACTGGCTTATGGAGGATATGGGGCTTTTTGCTTGTTTCAAAGGTAGATGGGGCAATCTGATGGTTAATAAAAAAACACAGGGTAGATAGGAAAGTTTTTAGCTGTCAAGAAAGACAGGTCAAAGTGTAACATATATAACCATGACAGTGTTGAAATGAGCAACAGGGGCATTATTTCTGAGGTCCATCTGAGTTTCAGTCTTTTCACTAAGCTCGGGAGAAAGGAAAAGTTTCAATTCTTAAGAAAGGCCATTTATACAATTTATCTCTTTTCTCATGTTTCTGTATCTTAATACCCTGTAGAAACCATAAAGAAAAATTTTCTAAGATATTCCCAAAATTTTTATTTTGAATGGACAGCACAAAATTATATAAAGGAAGTAGTTACTAATATTAAACACTAAGCTCGTATTCCTAATTCAACAGTTGCATAAATTACCACAAGCAGTGAAGGATTTGTCTCGAGCCATCCACCTCCAGCCAGATGGAATCCACTTGTATATAATTAGGTAAGTACACAAAAAGAACTTTATTCTACCCTTATTGTATCAAGATAAGGATCAAAGTGGCACACGTACATTGGCATACATGATATGTATGTGATTATATAATATGCAAATGTATGTATATACATAATACATATGTATACATATGTACTAATATATACTGGTATCTGTTGTGTAGGTACATACTATGTATATACATACAAAGATATGCATTCTATATTATTTATTTTAGGAAAATCACAAATTTCATTACCTAACATGTTAGTAAGATTTTTAGATTCATCTTGGCCATTATTTCCATCAATTAGTCAATCAGCAGACATTTATTAAGAAGCCACTATGTGCAATGCACTGTCCTAAATGCTAGGGATGCAAAGAAAAGCAGTTCCTACTTTGAAGGAGCTCACAATCTCATGGGAAGGCAGCACACAAACAATTACATGAAAATAAGGTATATATAGGATAAATAAGAAATAATCAACAGAGAAAAGGCACTAGAATTAAAAGGGATTAAGAAAGGTTTCCTATAAAGGGTGGAATTTAGCTAAGACCTAAAGAAAAGCAGAGACCCAGAGGTGGAGATGAGGAGTGAGAGTATTAGAGGCATGAGGGCCAGCCAGAGAAAATGGCTGGAGCTGACAGATGTAGCATCTTGTTTGAGGAACAGCAAGGCCAATGTCACTAAATCAAAGAGTACATGGAGGTGTATAAGGTATAAGAAAATTGAAAAGGTAGTAGGGGAATAGGTTGTGAAGGGCTTTGAGTGCTAAATAGAGCATTTTGTATTTGATTCTAGAGGTGATAGGAAGCCAATTGAGTTTATTGAGTAGGGAGGGGATGCAACTGGACCTGTGTTTTAGGAAGATCACTTTGACAGCTAAGTGGAAGATAGACTGGAGTAGGGAAAGACTTGTGGCAAACAGACCCACTAGCAGGCAATCACAATTGTCAAGGAATGAAAAATGAAGGCCTACACCAGATTGGTGGCAGTGTCACAGGAGAGAAGGGACATATATTAGAGATGCTACAAAGATGCAGTTGACAGGCCCTGGCAACAGATTGGATATGGGAGTGAGGAGAGGTAAGAGATAATAAGGAGTCAAGGATGATACTTGGGTTGTGAGGCTGGCAGTATCTTCAACAGTAATAAGGAAGTTTTTAAGGGTGCGAGGGTTTAGGATAGAGAGTTCCATTTTGGAAATGTTGAGTTTAAGATGTTTACAGCTGTGGTATCAAACTTATATAGAAACTGATCCCTGTAGACCACATACTGATGTGAAAACCACAAATCAACATTATCTATGTTATGTTGTATTCTTATTTGCTTTGTTAATCATTTCTCAATTACATTTTAATCTAGTTCTGGCTGCCCTTGGGAGTTTTGCTGGCCAGTTATGGCTCTGGCCATGAAATTGACACCTTTAGCCTACAAGACATCCAGTTTGAGATGTCGGAAATGTGAGACCAGAGGTCAACAGAAAGGTTAGGACTATACACGTAGATTTGAGAATCATAGGAATAGAAATGATAATTGTGTCCATGGGAGCTAATGAAATCACCAATTGAAATAGTATACAGGAAGAAGAAAAGAGGGCCCTGGACAGAGTCCTATGAGACAGCCACAGTTAGTGGGCCTGACTTGGATGAAGATCCAGAAACAGAGACTAAGAAATGATCACCTAGGTAGGAGAAGAACTAGAAGATAGTAGAGTCCCAAAAACCTTGAGAGATGAGATTATCAAGAAGAGGGTGATTAACACCACAGAGAGGCCAAGACAAAAGATGATTGAGAAAAGGCTATTGGATTTGGAAATTAAGAGATCTTTGGTATCTTTGAAAAGAGCAGTTTCAATTGAATGATGAGGCCAGAAAAAAGACTACCAAGAGTTAAAAAGTGAGAAGAAAGAAAGTAGAGGCCCATCTTACAGATGGCCTTTTCAAGGAATTTAGCTGCAAAAGGCAGGCAAGATATAGGTCGATAGCTAGCCTCCCTCAGCCTCCTTTCACCTCTGATGGGAGGGCTGGAGGCAGAGTACCAAACTCCTCCCAATGTGTTTCTTTAGAGAGAGCAGAAACTGGACTCTCATCTCGCTCCACTCTGCATCTGCTGCCCTGACTGGTTTCAGTTCTACAGAACATGATGCTCCCATACCAGCTACCCTGGTTTCCCATCTCCCCCATCCCACTTTCCCACCTTCTTTTGTGTACTGTCTCCCTCTTTAGATTATAAGCTCATTAAGTGAAGGGATTGTCTTTCTTTTTTCTAATTGCATTCCCAATTCTTAGCACTGTGCCTGGGATATCATAGGTGCCTAACACATGTTTATTGGATTAGATTTTTTAGGATAGGATGATGAACACAAGTAGGCTGCAGCATCTTAGCAATAATGACCCAAGCAACAAGAAGTAGCTTGGAAGGAAATGTATCATACAAAGGAGATATATGATTGAAGAAGGTAAATCATGGAGCAGTAGTGAGAGATGGCTTAATGTTTAAAAGTCAAGAAGAAAGCCACGTTGGGTAAATCTGCTAGGAAAGACTTGTGGAAGGCATAGATGACAATTACATAAGAATATGTGGATGGCTTAGAGTTTTACTAGTGTAAAAAATTCTACATATCAATGAGGTCACACATCCACTGAAACATTAAATTATATTAACAATAATAATGACAATCACTCATTTGCATTTGTAATAGACTTGGTAGTTTTCAAAATGTTTTCATATCATTGGATCCTCAGAACAACCTTGTGAGGTAAACAACTTACTTATCAAGCTTTCTGTGATGCATACCTGCAAAAATTACTCCTTTCAAGTATCACACCTTCTTTTCCCCTTAAAGTAGGTCCAGATACACAGGAAGCCATAGTCACAACCCTGCACACAGGTAGCCCAGACCACAGTATCATCTTCTCACTGGACTGAAGCAAGCAATGGGATTCAGCATCCCCTTGGGTGTCTAAGCAGCCTTTTTTAAAGGACTGCACTTCTCACCTCCTGGCATGAGAAAGGGGATAGAAAAGATTCCCTAAAAATTGTCAGCTTCACCCTACCTAACCCTCATCTGCTTAGAAACAAACAAAAAAATGTACAAAAACTTTTGCGAAGATGATTCTATTCACCATTGGTACATGGAAGGTGTATATGCTTATGGACAAGAAATCCAGTAGACCTGAAAGACAAATAGCTCTTGTGAGAGAACCTGGCAGGTATTGCATCCAAATAGCAGCCTTGAGTGAAACAAGGCAAGCAAATTAAGGCCACCTTACTGAAATCAGAGCTAGATACACATTTTTCTGGAGCAGCCACAGTAATGGCGAGTGCCATGAAGCTGACATAGGTTTCGAAATCAAAACTAATCTATTCAACAATCTCGTGTGCTTACCAAAAGTAGTGCGCGGCAGGTTCATGACAATGTTAATGCCACTTGCAGGAAAGCACAACACCACCGTCACTAGTATGTATGCTCCCACCATGATGAGCCTTGATGAGGTCAGAGAAAATTTTTATGAATACCTAAACACCTCATCACTAATGTGCTGAAAGAGGATGATCTTGTAATTCTGAGTGACTTTAACACCAGGGTAGACACAAACTACCAGACATGAGAGAGAGTCCTTGGAGGGAATGGAGTCAGAAACAGCAACAGCAATAGTCACCTACTACTAAAGACTTCTGTGTCTAATGGCTTTTTAAAAAATATATATTCTTTTTTTGGGTTTTTTTGGTAAATTTCATTATTTTAAACTTAAAAACAAAAAATTGCCATGTACACAGAAGAACATAAGATAGGATTCAATATAAAACAATAAATTTCTATTTCAAGAAAACCTATACAATTTCAAAGCAGCCCAGCTTTTCTTTGCTACCTTGTAGGTTTTATTTAGCTCTCTGCTATGCACTTTTTACTGTATTTTTCCCCTCCTTCCCTCCCACCCCCAACCCTAAAGAAGGCTACAATTAAATATGGATACATAGAGATAGATATTTAAAAACATACACATATACATACACATATATAAACTCATACACATATATGTAAGACCATACTATGCTTATTTCCACTTCTCATCTGTTTCTCTGAAGGTGGATAGCATCTTCCTTCATAAGCCCAAGTCTTCTCACGTTTTTCTAAATAAACCAGCTCATCATTTCCTCCCCCATGACAATATTCCAACCCAACCACATCCAATCTGAAAAATTTGTCTATGAAAGTTTTTCCCCCAATTTTCTGCATTCCTTCTATTCTTGGATGCATAGGTTTTATTAATACAAGAAAATTTGAATTTAAAATAATTGTAATTATCCATTTTATACTTCAACAATGCTCACACCTTCTAATATAGTTTAAGGTCTGATACTGATGAATCTGCTTCCTTTACATATTTTCCCCCTATGATCTTTGTTACTATTTTTTTCTTACTCAGTAGGAAAGTTTTTTGGTAGTTTAGTTGGGTTAAGTAAGATTGTCATTTTTATTATATTGGTTTCATGAACAATAAATATTACTTCAATTATTTAGATCTGACTTAATTTGTTTAAAAAGTGTTTTATGTTTATATTCATACAGTCCCTGTGACTATTTTGGCAGGTATACATTTGTCTAGTTATTTTAAATGGTCTAAAGCAATGTTAAATAATATTGCTGACACAGTTTAGTTTCCCTATTTTTCTCTTTTGAATAAATCTATTTTAGCTTTAACTTTGTCTGAGATTCTGATTACTACTCCTGCTTTTTTACTTATTAAATTCTACTCCTGACCTTTATTTTGTCTTTGTGTGTATCTCTCATTTTTATAGCATTTCCTGAAAGCAATATACTGTTGAATTCAAATTTTTAATCTGCTATCAGTTTCCTCTTTATGGGTAAATTCACCCCATTCACAGTCTAAGCTATAATTACTTGTGTATTTTCTTCCTTCCTGTTTTTTTTTACTATCCTTCTCACTCTATTCCTATCCTTCCTCTCTCCTCTGCTTTACTTCTACTCACTACCTTGCCC